CTCACGGAGTTTGCAGCTATTTTCTGTTACTCTGTATGATTGCCTGCTGGCGCTACCATTTCTTCCAACTCAGAATAGCGGCGTTAGTATTAACTTAATTGTAAATATCCCATATTAGCTGCCTCTCCAACAACAAATATTGCGCTCTCTTTTGAAATGCAAATAGTCTTTAGGAAAGAAGAATTTGTGCAGGGATTTGGAACTCCAGCAGGAGTAGGAACTCCGTTTCCTACCATTTTAGAACTCCCAAAAATAGAGCAGGGGAGGCAGATAACCTGATGTGTAGAGCATAAGGGCAGCCTTACCTGAGAGCAATAAGCATCGCTCGGAGCACTTAGCGCTGTTTTTAAAAATCCATTTGGGATGTTTGCCTTAACTTCTCTTGTTCCCACGTCCTGTAGCGGTACGTTTTAACTGGCAGCAATGCCAATGAGAGATTGTTCTTCCAACCCAACAAAGCGCAGCCGCAGGCTCGGAGGAGGACAGTAGGCTTCGTGCCATGATGAAGATGGTACGGGTTTGGTCTGCGGATGCAGAATCAGTTTTCCATTCCACCTTTGCGAGAGCGCGGGGTACGTGCCCGCTTCCAGAATTAATCCTGAAGCTGGCTCCCTCGCAGCAGCTTACAGAGATCGTTTTGTCTGAAGAAAAATGTTTGGAGGCATCTAATAGTTTAAAATGAGGAGGAAAAGTTAACCCCTCGGTAATTAAGGAAGGAAGGGGGGGTGAAGAGGCTAATTGGATATGCAGGGATTAGGAATATGACGAATAGCTGGTGAATTTGCTCAAGGAGTCTGTTTGCAAAAGAGCAGGAGGAGAGAGCAAAGGTGGCTATGTGTGGGATAACGATGCTGTCTGCTTTTTTACAAACTTTCTTTTGAAAAGAGCAAGAGTTTTGCAAATCCCCAATGCAGACCTGTGGGATGGTTCTTCTCGGCATCGGCGGCTGTACCTGAAATACAAGTGCTGAACTGTAACCTGTTGGCGAGGGGGTTGCTCAAAAGGCAGTTTGTTAAAGAATTGTCACACTGGTGAAGAAAAAGACGCGTAAGAGCAGTAGTTAAGCAGATTTCCAACTCAGTCCTTTCTGTCAGGAAATGTGAAGTATTTCCTGTTTTGCTAAAAGCAGCAGCACTTGGAGTCTGACAAATGGGGGGGGGATAATTCCTTTTATTTCCTTGCTTTTTCTGGCTTGCTTCGGAGATGAGTTTTATACACTTCCGTGTGTTTGTCAGTAGGGAATGCCAGCAGCTGGATGGAGCGAAGGGAGCCCTTCAGGGGTAAGCTACGTTCACGCTGTAACAGGCATCAAACATTTTAGGTGGGGACATAACTGAATTTCCTATACACCAGAGACCATCAAATATGAGGAACTAGGATTTACAACTACTTTTGCTCCTAGACCCACTCATGAATTGTTATTTTGTGTGTGTGTGTGTGTTTGCCTTTATATATATATTTTTTTTTTTTAGCCTTCCACTGTGACTCTCTTCAGCCTTCGTGGCCAGCACTGCTATCTTCCTACTTTGCTCTGTCGTGTCTTGGGATTTTTGTGGATCCAATCTAAAAATCTCAAGGCTAATCGTAAGCAGAACTTCAGCATAGCCTGCATATATTCCTTCCATATGTGGAAAATCATGTTTGCGTGGGTTCAGTCAACTCGGTAGCAATCCTGAAGAATTCTGTGGGATGGCTCATTCTTCTGAGGACTCCTTGTTTGCCAGAGAGCGTGTAAAACGTCTTCTCTCTGCATAAATAAGTCATTATGTTACACCGCCATTAAAATTAATTCCATTGTTAAAAATACCTACTTGTGCTGTTTTCTCTAGAGATTTTGTATTTTACTGACTAATTTTGTTGTTTTAAATCACGATTCCTATTTCAGGAATTTTCTGTAACAATAACCACTTCTAGATCTGTATTGAATATAGGAGTTGTAAAGCTGTTATCCTTTCAGAAGGTCAAGAAAATCAACTTCTAATCTTTGGAGAGGCACTCTGCAAATTAAGCAATCCGTTACAACACCTTGTAGGTGAATCGCTATTTACGGAGATACTTTGAGACATTGTTAATTCCGTGTTGATTTATGTAATTTTCCTATACAAACAAGAAATTGTAGGGGAGTGGAATTACTAAGTCACATTATGGAGGTAAACACGACGTGACTTCGGGCAAATTAGCACAGCGCTTGCTGTCTCTGAAAAGTGTCACTGTTGTGTTACTTGGCATCTACCCTGAGCTCCAGAGAGGTAAAATGCCTCGAAAGAGTGGAAGTTGATCAGACTCTTTCTAAGGGCACTCCAGGAGAAAGCCTTATCAATGTCTTGTCAATGCCACACTTTTAATAATGTCACTGGAAGCTGGGAGAAGTTGTCGTGCCTCATTTCTTGTATGCATGTGTATATATGTATAAGTGCATATATTTTTCCTAGTGGAATTGAAGTTAAGACTCAGAAATATGAGTGCTGTGAAGTGGAAAAAAGCAGAGCACAGGGAGGCAAGGGTCTGTGGAATAGCTTTTTATGAAGCACCATCAATATGCTTGGACTCTTCTGCCTGGAAAGAGATGGCTTGGGGAGGCAGTGATAAAATCAGAAGGTTACGCATGGCATGGAGAAGGGGGATATGGCAGAATTGCTCACTGTCCGTTCCAGCACAGAAGGAAGAGGGTATCGGATGAAACAAGGATGGTTTGGATTTAAAGCTACAAAAGGAAGTGTTGGTTTGGTTTTTTTTTCACGCAGAGTGTAACTAAGCCATGGAAAGCCTTGCAGTGGGATGATGTGGATGCCAGAGGCTTGAATCTGGTCATGGAAGTCTTGGACAAACCCGTGGAAGCGTGGTCAGCTAAGGGATGTTAAATGCACAGGCTGGATCTCTGGTTCAGAAAGTCCCTGGAAGCATTGTTTGCTGGGGACCCTGAGAGTTCTGGGAAAACGCGGTTTAGTGCTTGCCCAGTGCTTACGTTATTCCTTGGCCATCTCTTTCCAACCCTGTTTTGGAGGCAGGGCAAACCACCTGATTTGACCTGCTACAGCCAACGGCTACGAGCTGCAGGAATCAAGCTGAATCATTTGGGACTGCTTCCCAGCCATGGTGGTTACCTCTTTTTGGGGGTATTCCCAACAGGTTCATGCTGACACAAGAACATTGTCGGATGCTCCCGAGGTATCTTGGAGGCATTTCGTTAGGGTCGTGCAGATTACAAGTGAGATTTTAATTTAAGATACCATTGGTGTTTCTTCATATCTTGTAGTAACGTTCATACTCAAAAAATAATTTCATACAGAGAAGCATGTGAAAAGAGAATTGGTTTTGATAGAAAAAGAAATGTTGCAGGGAAAATGCCTTGATGTAAATAGCTGAGGGGGCAAGGCAGCGTTCTGGTGGGGGAAGGGGTGGAAAATGTGGTCATTTCCAACTGCCTCCTTTCATTGTGGGATTGGCATCACTTAAGAAAGTAATTTTAACCTTATGGCTGCTTTAATTTCCTGTTCTGTAAATTGGTAGCTGCTTAACTTCCCAGCTTAGTGAACAGTGATTTTAGTTGTACTTCAGGCATCTTCTGAAGGAGTAGCTAGCTGTGGAAGGACCAAAGGATTCTCCATAGTCTTGTGCATCTGAAAAAAAAAAAAAAAGAGGGGAGAGGAGAGTGTTAGGGATTTAAAGTCCATCTAATACCAAATACTTTCAGAACACATGTATTTTATACTTCCTTTTTGTGCCTTTGTGGAAATTTTTCCAAGTGTGATCACCTAGTCTGCTCTGCTAGGTTCTGCTGTTGCTGTTGGACATGAAAGGTACACCGCTCTGGTTCCATTTTGCATTTTTCTTAGTCAGAAAACAGCAAACATTCCACTAACAGTGCTTATGAATCGTTTCTGAAGTGGGTTGTGTTCTTCCATTAACAGGCAAGATTCGCCTATATTCCAATTTGAATACTTGGCAGGTAGTAATGTGTTGACCAAAGTCTTCTGAAGATAAGTTTGTTTAGTAAAACAAATGAAAAAAGGTTATTATGGTCTTGAGTTAAAAAAAAAAAAAAAAATACTCGTTATGTGCATGCCTTCTGGACACGTGCAAATAACAAATCTAAAAAGGAGTCAATGGTTAGATATGTATTTTTCTTACCTTGTTTTATTTTCTGAATCTTTTTAATGTAAAGTCAAAGTTTACTTTAAAAATAATTTAGCCAGTGAAACTTAACGGACCGAAATCATTATGAGTTCTCCTAAAAACTGGTAGCGTAGCGTGGAAATACTGGAGAGCAGCATGAAGTGGCTGCGTAAGGATGGATGCAAGTGCAGAGCGGAGTGCCGTTAAGGGTGGCAGCGGTGGGTGCGTTGCTACAGCTGCTGGCATCCTGAGGAGGCAGGTCATCCTTTTCCAGTAACAGGAACTTGGCAACTTCGATATGAGTAAAAACTAACACGTCAAAGTCGCTACCAAATGCCTTGGTCTGCTACTCCATTAATTCGCTTGTCATTTGTGAAGGTATGGTCCTTTGTAAAACCTTTATTCATTCAGACTTGAACTCTTTGAGTTGGGATATTTAATGCGTCACGTATTTTGACTTTTGTTTCACGACCAACTGTTGTTCGCTATTAGTTTCTGATAAGCGCTAATAGTAACTTTGGCAGAGACAACGGTAATGAAGTTCTTAAACTTTAGAGTAGCTTCTTTTCTAGTGAAGTAACGTTTTCCCAAGTCTTCTAATGAGCCTTGAACAGCATTGCATCATTTTAAAGTATTGTTATAAATTGTCAGTTCATTAAAAAGTAATATTGCCTAAGGAAGAATTACATCACTGACTGTTCAAACTGTCTCTTATTTCTGTTAGCTCAGTCTACCCCAGTAGTGGTGGCTATTTAAAAAAATTCCTTAGACCATTTAAAAAATAACTTTTAAGTTGATCATAGCGTCAGCTGGAATGACTGGATACTAGTCAATGTATTGATAAATGTATTCGAAATACTGATGTTGTTTCGTGTTCCTTGCAGGTGCATTCTGCTCCCTCTCTTGGGAGCGAAGCCCCCCCAGCAGAGCCTTTTCCTGCTCGTCGATTCGGTTGACGAGGGCTGTAACGTTTCCGAGGGCGAACAGACTTCTACAAGTTTATCCGGAACGATAGCGGAGCTTTTAGCTGGCCACTTTGAGTTCTTCCCTCCCTGGCTGCTCCTCCTGTGTTCTGCCCGCAAGCAGAGTAAAGCTGTTACCAAAATGTTTACAGGTGAGTACAGAGCGTAGGAGGGGTTTGCTACCTCTGCCTTTAACTAGGATGTAGCACCTACGAGACCCTCGGTGGTGGTTGAAAGCACTGATGCATGCTGAGGTCTAAAGAATGACCGTCACAAAAATGAGAATTCTAAAAGACACACATTCCAGTTTACTGAGGACTGCAGAAAGCTTAAATCAACCAAGTATTTTAGAGGTAAGCTATGTTGTTGCAGTACATCTGCAAAGAATACGGCTGCTTTGAGTCTTCCTCTTGCTTTGCTGGTTTTAAAAAGCTTTGAAACAGTGGAGGTGATGTGTAAGTCCATAAGTATGTCGGCTGCATACACCCATTCCTTACAACCTCAAAAGATTTTTAAAAGATTATTCTTTTTTCATCTCCCGTCAGAAACTCTCCCCTTATTTTCAGAAAGCAGGGAATAGCCTTTGAAGGTGGAATTTGAGAGGGGAACAAGGTAGATGTGGATTCTTGGAGTATACATTTGGCAAAGGTTGCACAGTAAAAAAATTTCTTTACGGCGTCTTCATCCAGGCTTTTCTGTGTCTTGAGAACATTTCTTCACTGTAATGACATTGTTACGGGAAGCTCTCTGAAATTTAATAAAGGGCAATATCTAGACTGGATTCCAGGCCTATGTATAAAGCCTGTGTGTATTAAGGCAACAATTAGGACAAAAATGTGATTATAGAACATAGACCCATAGGCTTGCTCGTTTCCACGGTGGCAAAAGGTCAATGGGATAATTGCATTTTGGAACGAAGGACTGTATTAATCAGTGGCAGACACGAACATTGGTATTTGGGAGTATGTGAGAACTAAAGGAAACTTTGGGGTAGCTGCACAGGGCTCCTTTGGACGTTCATATGGGAATGGTTTTGTCAAAGCTTGGCTGATTAGATACGTTGTCATTGCCAAAAAAACAGACAAAACTTTCTTCAGAGCAGTTTTATTTCCTTTCCATTGGATCATATAATGTTTCAGACTAGTCCTAAAAAATCGCTGTTTTCTTCTAAGTATGTTTCCAGATGGAATTCCTGACAGGAAAAATCAGCAGAACTAATGAATATGCCTTTAAAATAAATTTAATTTAAATGAGTTAATTTCTCATTTCCACAGGGGATGACTTGATGAATAGCATAGAGGAAGTTGGCTTGTGATACTATAATCCCATCTTCACTGGGGAAAAGGTACAGCGAAGAAAGAATGGATCCCAAAATAATTGGGCACAACTAGAGAAGAAATCTCTAGGGTCTATTTGGAGGAAGTGGTTGTTTTCTTCCACTGTGAAAGAAAACTGTGACATTACACTACAACTACCTGAAAGGAGACTGGAGCAAGGTGGGGGTCGGCCTCTTCTCCCTGGTAACGAGCAATAGGACGAGGGGCAATGGTCTGAAGTTGCGCCAGGGCAGGTTTAGGTTGGACATTAGGAAAAATTTCTTCACAGAAAGGGTTGTCAGGCTCTGGAATGGGCTGCCCAGGGAGGTGGTCAAGTCCCCATCCCTGGAGGTATTTAAAAGAAGGATAGATGAGGTGCTTAGGGACATCGTTTAGTGGTGGGATGGCAGGGTTAGGTTAATGGTTGGACTTGATGATCTTGGAGGCCTTTTCCAACATAAACCATTCTATGATTACAAACCATGTGCCAGTTGCCTGCTTAATGCACTGTCAGATGATTTTCCTTTTTACAGCCAATATTCAGGTTTGCAAAAGGTACAGCAAGGATGTGAGGAGCACGGCTGAAGCTTCTGTTAACTTCAGATACATTGCAGCTTTGCATTGTAAAACTTGAGATAAGGGTCATTTCTTTTCTGGTTCCAGCCTGGAAGGGATAGACTGTCATTAACACTTCTACCAGGGCAAATTCTTCTCCTCCTCTGCGGTATTTGAGTGTTTACTTTTAGCTGAGCCAATTTATAAAGCTGTTTAATTGCTGGGCAAGCAGAATTCAAGATCAACGATGAGTTGGTTTTTTTTTTTTGCACTCATGACTGAAGAAATAAATGGTGTATAATGCACACTGCGCTCTGGGACACTACGGTACTGAATTTCTAATACTTCCAATTTCACACCAAATAAATGTTTGCAGCCATAATGATAATATAATCACTGTACTTTTTCTTCAAATATGTTTCTTTAATTTGGAACCTAAAAAAAAATAAATCAGTTTCACTGTAGCTTAGTAAGATAGGTTGGGATGCTTTCAGGAGTATGTTAGGAGAATGTGTCCCATCTGTAGTTTTCTTCTGCTAAAAATTTTAGAGTACAATATGAAGTATATACTAACCAATATTAATTTGTTTACAATCAGTTTATAGCAGATTTCACTTAAAATTTCCATGCAGTGAAAACTTCCTCCAGAAATCTGCTGAAATGAGAGCTAAACCTATTTGTCAGAAAGTGTTGTCAGTGCCTGGGATCAGGATTGCTGCAGTGGCCTGGTCCTGTCGATGCTATTTTTTTGGGTGTCCAGTACAGATGAGAGAGTTCTGCAAGCACCTCCCTAGCCAAAAATCGTGATGATGGGGAAGGAGGAGTCCAGTCTTTCTCATCCACGGCCACCGCGCTGCTGCCAGTGGCAAAAACCTCATCCCTACTGCTCCAAGAATGAGAAAGGAAGGAGGGGGGGATTGTTCTGGTCCTCCTTCTTCCTTCACTTTTGTCGGCGACTTATTTATGAAAGGTGAATGGTTGTGCCTGCCTCTGCGGCCGCTTGTGTTCTGGGCCCTTCTGTATTCCCAGATTCTGTAGAAGCACAACGCGCTGTAGATTTCCCCCCCCTCCCTTACTCAGATTCTCAGCTTTCATTAATTTAAAAAAAAAAAAAAAAGGTTTTGCCTCTTGTGGCTGCAGAGACAACCTCAAAAATATGAACCAAATGTAAAATGATGCTCGTGTGAGTCTGCGGTCACCCTCCGCAGCGAGCAGAAGCCAGGCAGTGGGGTACAAAAGGAGGGGAACAGATAACACACGTCCTCCTGCCTTCTCCTCCCTGGTAACGGGCGATAGGACAAGGGGGAATGCTCTGAAGTTGTGCCAGGGCAGGTTTAGGTTGGACATTAGGACAAACTTCTTCACAGTAAGGGCTGTCAGGCTCTGGAATGGGCTGCCCAGGGAGGTGGTGGAGTCCCCATCCCTGGAGGCATTTAAAAGAAGGATAGATGAGGTGCTTAGGGACAGGGTTTAGTGGTGGGATGGCAGGGTTGGGTTCAAGGTTGGACTTGATGATCTTAAAGGTCTTTTCCAACCTAGATTATTCTATGATGGTTCTGTGATTCTCTTGCGCCTGCGCTGTCACCAACTGCCACATCACGCCTGTTTGCTTTTCTTACTGACTTCTTCCCAAAATGTAACAATTCTCTGACTTGCGCCCGTAATTATCAGCGTTATCTCCCACATCATCGTTTGCTATCGTTTGGCTACAAGTCTGGACAGTCAAGCAGCTACATTAAACAACAGTCATTCCAACCTCTGTATTATAATGTTAGAAAAAGTTTCCTTGTCTTTCCAAAAAACTGACAAAGCCCTCCAACCTGAAAGGAGCACAGAACATACAATTATTATTTTTTTTAATGCTTCAGCTAATTAGCTGATACAAATGCTTCTTCCAAAATGAGGCTAAATCTCGAAAGCATAGCAGTTGTTCTTACAAAACTAAATTCCTTTTTTAAAGATCCATCATATTAGTTTAAAAGCTTCAGGCATTTTAAAAGCAGGCAATTTTATTTCGATGAGTTTGAGTGAAAAGCAGATAATTTCTCATTAACAGCATAAAGGTAAATAGATAAAAGTGCATATAAACAAACTATTTTTTGGTTGAAAGAGGCTTTTTTTTAACAGGTATTTATTAAATTTCTTCTTTTTTGCTACACAAATAAATCAAGTATCTGTGGCATCTGGCTTGATTATACCCCTCAATTAAACACGGACATTCTTCACCCGAAGAATTCCTTCCAATGTGTGAGGCATGAGTGCACCAGCGTGGTACAACCCACGCGGATGTCACATCGCAGGGAGCCGCGCTTTCCACAAAGGTGATGTTGGATACCGGAAAGATACTGGAAACTGCAATAAAAAGAATCAAAAGTCAACGTGAAAGGGTTCAGTTTAGTCTTAGAGGCAGCTTAACCTCCATTTGCCCACTTATCCATAGGCAAAAGCAGATGGTCTGTCATTCATTTTTCACTCTTCCTTTTATCTGTCACTCAGTTCCGGACAGCCAGACATTATTAAGAGCTAGTATTTATGCAAACTCATTCTGGATTAGATAGAAAACTTGGGAGCACGAGTCTTTCTCGTATTTCTGCTATTTGCTGGTTCTGGTCTGAATAGGTGTGGAGGGGTGTTTTTCTTGTAGCCTTTCCTAAAATTAAAAAACAAGTAAAAATGTGAGAACTTTAGAGAAATACAGTAAAAATCACAGCCCGGCTTTTCTGCACCCAGCAAACTCATACTGTTTGGTAACTGAAGCTGCTCGGGTAGTCGGATTGCTGAATCCCCAAATCAAATCAGTTGCCTGATGTGGAACTGAACCTTTTCTCATTAGCTGCCATTCCAGAAAATAAGTGGCAGGAGACCACCTCAGGAAAAAGTGCTTCAAAAAAGAAAATCTAAGTTGTCCTCAAATTTTTCATTGTAGGTTGGAATTTGAGTGGTTTCATGCTACTTTAAAGTCTCTATGGGAGTTGGATTTTTACCATAAGTGATAATTTTCATATACTTCTGTAGTTGTAAAATTTACTCTTATAGTATTAAAGCTTTGAAAAAGTGTATTTGTTGTTTTGCTTTGGGTTTTGGAAAAAAAATATTTGGAAGGCTTGGGAAATAAACTGGGAGCTTTTAATTAGTTTCCTTTCTTCTCGTTACCACTTTCTTCTCATCACCACTCTGAAAACATGATCCTAAGGAATTTCATATTTCCTAGTAAAAAGTTGTGTGTGAATTTTGAATTTTACTTGCTTTGTCATTAAAGAGGGAAGACTAAATTGTTTTAAATGGACTGTTACCTGTAAATCTGACTAAATAAACTGCTGTGCAGTGACACAGCCCAGTTGAGAGCAGCAGATTTCAGCCTCTGGGGTAGATGCAGTGGAATTTGTAATTCACAGTATAGTGCAAATGCACTAAAAGCTCAGTGTGCCACTTGAATTTTCAGGTGCATTTTGCTCTGCTGGATACATTTATGCTTTTTGAGCAGGTGTGCAAAAATAGCCACAAAAATACCTAATTCAATATCTGCTTGGATCAGCAGCGTAAATTACTAATGCCAAAACATTGCCATGTTTTTAATCATTTAGGTTCCTTTAAAATTAACAATCCAGTCAAATGAGATCTATCAAAATGTATTTAAAAATTCTGTAATTTACTTGTGCAAATGTATTTAAAGATATTAAAGAAGGGTATCCTTAAGTATTTACTAGAAGCTTCTAGTTAATACCGTATTTTTTATTATTAAAGTTTGAAAAGGTTGACATACTGTAAAAGTATTTATATAGCCAAGATGCTACTTTTTTTTTTTTTTTCTTTGAATGACCCTAGATCTTGCCAAGAAATACATTTGGAACTGATTTGTTTACAGAACTGCCAGGAATTTAATAAATCAGGAAAATGCATATTGGAGCTCCCATTGGGTTGAAAGTGATGTGTTGTAAGAAAAATTTGAACAATGCAAAAACAGGGTCGTGGGACCGCAAGTTCTGTCTACGGCGCTCCTGTTTTGCTGAGCTTAAGTAGTTCATGGGAATGCATCTGAAACAAAATGGGCTTTCTCTTAATGTTTTGGTGCTTCTTGTCCATGAAAGTGGCTTATTGTATCTGGTAGGGTTGAAAAGCAAGTTTGCAGGATCTTTGTTTGGAAATGTAAAATGACCTCATTTACGTAGACGTTTGGGCAAAAAAACATGGCTTTGTTTTCCTCCTTCAAGCTAGGAACAAGAATTTGAGATTTAAAAAAAAAAAACCAACCTCAATTCTATCAATAAGGCCTTTTTATGAATTATTTCCTTATTACAGTGTGGCATGGCACAGTGGTTAAAATTAACAACCTATTTCTGTTCAAAAGCCTGGTTACAATGGCAACTTGTTAATCCCAGCCCTGAAGGAACGTATCGTCCCCAGGATGCACGAAGGTCTGGGCGAGTGTCGCGTCCTGCTTGCTATACAAACTTGTCTTCAGATACCATCTATAGGATCTCATTAACAAGGAATATTTGGAAATAGCGCAAAAGAAAAGAAGCAATTTTTAGCTTCTTTAAACACACGGCCGATTGAATTGTTTAAATTACTGGAATAGTCACTGCTCAGAAGTCTTCCAAAATCTATTTGCTTTGCCTGAAGTGCTTAGACATTGGCTGTGTCTCCGGTAAGTACAGAGTAGGGCAATATTTTTAATGTTAATATGGAACAAAGTCACGATACCACCCCAAACCCTTCCTCTTACTTTTTTTGGAGGGTTTGGGGTTGGTTTATCACATCCAAAACGGTTTTGTTCACTTTCCCACCCATTTTGGGAAGCAAACTGGGAATCGGTATTGAAAGAACACTGCAAGATGAGGGAGAAGCTTTTGCCTTTGGAAGCAGACGTACGGGGACCGAGACGCTCCGACAGTTACTGCTCTGCGAGTTTCCACGTGAGGGCTGGGAGTCACGGGAGGTGAAGCGTGGTCGTCAGTCTGTCAGCACTGAACATGAGCTGAAATCCCAGGATTGCTCTCCTGTGAGTCAGTCGGGGCGCTTCTCACTGGGGAAAGGAAATCAACTGCCGTAAAAACTGAGAAAACCGCTTGAGTAATTTAAAAATAAAAATCACTTGGATACGCGGATCTATATTGGAAGGAAGGATGCGAGCGTGGGATTAACGTGAGAGAGTGGGGATGTTGTGAGCAGAGTCACTGCTGACTAAACGCATCGAGGAGGAGTTGGCAGAGCTCTGTGCCTGTTCCCGTTCAGCCATGCCACAGGGACTGGTCTGTCCTGGGAGAAGCAGACAGGTTCAAAGAACCGAAAGGTGAGCACGTGCCATGGCTGTGTTTGCTCGGAACGGAGCAAACCCAGAGTTGTTCCCTGCACGCACGAGGTGACCAAAGGGACCCTCGTGTCTGATGACAGCTCTGTGGATGCATACGACTCTGAAGGCACGCACCAAGCCAGGCCCTGCTTTTAATGCCTCTGTTTCTACTTGGATATCTTCTGAAGGATCATAACCTGGAAACAGCCTTTCACTTGATGTGGAAGCTTGGGATCTGCAGATCTGCAAGGGCACTGTCTGTTCTTACTCAGCAAAGTTTCTTATTTGGCTTATGTGCAAGAAAAGGGCTTTACAAAGTATTTACAAAGTTACATACAGGGTATTTTAATCAAAAGAGTAGTAAACCAAGGAATTACGCCATTGTGCAGGTCAGGTTAGGATATTCTTTGACGTTGTGACATATTATGGGGGATAAAGATGGTTCTGTGTTTCTTTGGAGAGAAAAAAAATGCCCTTGTGGAATGGGCAAAGATCCCCCCAGTGTAGTTATTTTCTGCCTCCTGGCCTTCTCATTCAAAAATCTTTGAGTAGGCAATCTTATTAGCATAGTCTTAGCCTGAGAGGTGACCAGGCAAAAGCGTCCTATCCAGTGATTTTATTTTAGGGAGCAGCATGATTTTGTTTTAGGTAGCCTATTGATTCAGTCCTGTTAGATTTGTAATGCTACCATAATTAATAAGGGAAGCAGAACGAGCTCAGTAACACCACCGTAGTTTGCCTCTCAGTTCTAATTTGTAGTGTTTGTACAACGCTCGCGTTGACCCAACAGTTAACAGCGTGAGCTTAATGTGACATTCGGAGCCTCTGCTGAAGACACCCAGGAACAAAAAGCACAGCTCTCTTACCAGGCTGAGTTTTCAGTCGGAACAAGCTCCCAGGCTAAGCAGTTTAATCCACAGAATGTTTAAATACAGTAAAAACATAGATCTGGAAATAACATTCTTGCAGAGTTGTACTTAAAATTATTTGCTCTATGGAGATGGGGCCAAAATTGCATTGAATGCGTTGCGCTCTGGTTGGTTTTCCTTCAGTATGATTTGGAGGTTGGGAACTGCTTTGATTTGAAAAGCAAAGGTGGGGTTTTTTTACGACTAGCCGAGCTGACTGTAAGGAATTGTGTGCCATCTGCTACACTGGAGGAGGAGATTGCAGCCTCTCCCTGGAGAAGCGAGGTACAGTTCTGGCCTAAAACACAGGAGTTTAAGCTGCTGTGTCTGTCACCTCCATGGTTTTCGCATAGCTTCTGGAAAAGTAGCGTTCAAACCATGTAAGGTGTCATTACTCAAAAAGAGTAGGTCTTTGTCAAATGCTTTACTTGGCACTACCAAAGCAAATGTTTCAGGTGACAGAGATAGCTGTGTAGTCCATACAACTATATCTTAATTCCGCCTCATTCTTGAGAGCCTTATGGTCACTGAGGTTGCCCTAGGGACTTGTCTAAGAACGTTCTTGGCTTCAGGCGGGGGGGTGGTGGTGTACCTGTGCATGTGTGGGGAGGCGATGTACGCAGCATGCACACATGAAATGATTTCCCTTTTTCTTCAAAATAATAAACAGGTTGGAAAACCAATGAGATCAGATGAGTACGAGAAAAAGGTGATCAGGTTAAAGTGATTTATGTACATTGCATCATGCATATGCACCAGGTGCGAACAACCACTTCTATAATTATATTGTTATAATAACTGTCTTAATCTAAATAGCTGAGAATAATTTGGAATTCCATTGCTAACCACATTGGAGAAGGGATTATTCCTTTAATTATATAATAATACTTAATAATCTTATTTTGGTTGCAGTTCTGGTGGTTTTGCTTAGGTGTTTAGTATTGAGCAAGGTGGGCACACAATGTCTGATTCAAAGTGATTTTTACATTTTTCTTGTGTTAGCAGCACGTCTGTCTGTCTGATAGTAGATGGTGGTAAAAATGTGTCTGTTATCCAAGTTCTCCGCTATTATTATTCATTTACATTCACTGTGTGTACACACAAAATATACTCTTGTGGGTGTTCCCCACCCAGAAATGTCTGTCTTTTATTTATTTTTTTTTTAACATTGAGTTAAACGAAACTAGATAAGAACTAATACTGACTTTTTTCCCTTTTAATAGGTTTTCGAAAAATAAGTCTGGATGATCTGCGAAAGGCTTACATTGTGAAAGATGTGCAACAATATATTCTGCATCGTTTAGATCAGGAGGAAGCACTGAGACAGCATCTCACAAAAGAAACTGCAGAAATGCTGAATCAGCTTCACATAGTTAAACGAATCTAGATAAGAACTAATAATGACTTTTTTCCCTTTTAATAGGTTTTCGAAAAATAAGTCTGGATGATCTGCGAAAGGCTTACATTGTGAAAGATGTGCAACAATATATTCTGCATCGTTTAGATCAGGAGGAAGCACTGAGACAGCATCTCACAAAAGAAACTGCAGAAATGCTGAATCAGCTTCACATCAAAAGCAGCGGTTGCTTTCTGTATCTGGAACGTGTCCTAGATGGAGTCGTGGAGAATTTTATTATGTTACGAGAGATCCGTGATATTCCGGGAACGTTAAACGGCCTCTACCTTTGGCTCTGTCAGAGACTTTTTGTGAGAAAACAATTTGCAAAGGTCCAGCCTATTCTTAATGTAATTCTTGCAGCCTGTAGGCCGTTAACCACCACGGAGTTGTATCATGCAGTGTGGACCAAAAATATGACATTGACGATGGAAGACTTTCAACGCAAGTTGGATGTCCTGTCAAAAGTCCTTATTGATGGGCTGGGAAATACAAAAATCTTATTTCATTATAGTTTTGCGGAATGGTTGCTAGACGTAAAGCACTGTACGCAGAAATACTTGTGTAACGCAGCAGAGGGACACAGAATGCTGGCAATGAGTTACACTTGCCGAGCGAAGGATTTGACACCGCTAGAAGCTCAAGAGTTTGCACTGCATCTAATTAATTCAAATTTACAGTTAGAGACTTCAGAGCTGGCTTTATGGATGATATGGAACGGCACACCCGTCAAAGACTCCCTGTCGACCTTAATTCCTAAAGAACAGGAGGTATTACAGCTACTGGTAAAAGCTGGCGCTCACGTCAACAGTGAAGACGACCGCACGTCTTGCATTGTTCGGCAGGCTCTGGAGAGGGAAGATTCCATTCGCACCTTGTTAGACAACGGAGCATCAGTAAACCAGTGCGATTCCAATGGGAGAACGCTCTTGGCCAACGCAGGCTACAGCGGCAATCTCGATGTCGTTAACTTGCTGGTTTCAAGGGGAGCAGATTTAGAGATAGAAGATACTCATGGGCAAACAGCACTTACCTTAGCTGCTCGGCAGGGACACACCAAGGTTGTCAATTGCTTGATTGGATGCGGGGCTAATGTTAATCACACTGATCACGACGGCTGGACGGCATTGCGATCCGCAGCGTGGGGTGGGCACACGGAGGTGGTTTCTGCGCTCCTTTATGCTGGAGTCAAAGTGGACTGTGCAGATGCCGACAGTCGAACGGCGCTGAGGGCAGCAGCTTGGGGAGGACATGAAGATATTGTGCTCAATCTGCTTCAACATGGTGCTGAAGTTAATAAAGCTGATAATGAGGGCAGAACAGCTTTGATTGCGGCCGCTTACATGGGGCATAAGGAGATCGTGGAGCACCTGCTGGATCACGGTGCAGAGGTAAACCATGAGGATGTGGATGGAAGGACTGCACTGTCCGTGGCTGCGCTTTGTGTCCCAGCCAGTAAGGGACATGCCTCAGTGGTTAGTCTTCTAATTGACCGCGGTGCTGAAGTTGACCATTGCGATAAAGACGGCATGACTCCGCTGCTGGTAGCTGCTTATGAAGGACATGTAGATGTTGTCGATCTACTTCTAGAAGGAGGAGCCGATGTTGATCACACAGACAACAATGGTCGCACGCCACTGCTGGCAGCAGCCTCCATGGGCCACGCTTCAGTTGTGAATACTCTCTTATTTTGGGGTGCAGCTGTTGATAGCATTGATAGTGAAGGGAGAACGGTTCTGAGCATAGCCTCTGCGCAAGGCAATGTCGAAGTAGTACGGACTCTGCTGGACAGGGGGCTAGATGAAAACCATAGGGATGATGCAGGCTGGACACCTTTGCATATGGCAGCTTTTGAAGGTCACAGGTTGATCTGTGATGCTCTTATAGAACAAGGTGCTAGAACAAATGAAATTGATAATGATGGACGTATACCTTTCATATTAGCTGCACAAGAAGGTCACTATGATTGTGTGCAGATATTACTGGAAAATAAATCCAACATTGATCAGAGAGGCTATGATGGGAGAAACGCTCTCCGGGTTGCTGCTTTAGAAGGTCACAGAGATATAGTTGAACTACTGCTCAGCCACGGAGCAGATGTCAACTACAAAGACGCTGATGGCCGGCCAACACTTTATATCTTAGCGTTAGAAAACCAGCTTACGATGGCTGAGTATTTTTTAGAAAATGGTGCAAACGTAGAAGCAAGTGATGCTGAAGGAAGAACAGCACTCCATGTTTCCTGCTGGCAGGGCCATTTGGAGATGGTACAGGTGCTGATAACATACCATGCCGATGTGAATGCTGCAGATAACGAGAAGAGATCTGCTTTGCAGTCCGCTGCATGGCAAGGTCACGTGAAGGTAGTGCAGCTTCTCATTGAGCATGGAGCTCTGGTTGACCATACATGTAATCAAGGTGCTACTGGACTCTGCATTGCAGCCCAAGAAGGGCACATTGACGTTGTCCAGATATTACTGGAGCATGGTGCTGATCCAAATCATGCCGACCAGTTTGGGCGCACTGCTATGCGTGTTGCAGCTAAAAATGGACACTCTCAGATTATTAAGTTACTGGAAAAATACGGTGCATCTACTCTGAACGGTTGCACTCCATCTCCAGTCCACACAATGGAGCAAAAACCCTTACAGTCAGTCTCCTCTAAAATGCAGTCGTTAACAATGAAGTCAAACAGTTCAGGGAGTACTGGTGGAGATATGCAGCCTAGTATGCGTGGCTTATCTAATGGGCCTGCTCACGCCTTCAGTTCTCCTTCAGAGTCACCTGATTCTACAGTTGACCGTCAGAAGTCATCCTTATCAAATAATTCCCTGAAAAGTTCCAAAAACTCTTCTCTCCGCACCACATCGTCGACTGCTACCGCTCAGACGGTGCCCATTGATAGTTTCCACAGCCTGTCGTTCACAGAGCAAATACAGCAGCATTCCCTGCCCCGCAGCAGAAGTAGGCAGTCTATTGTTTCTCCTTCTTCCACAACTCATTCCCTAAGTCAAAATCATAATTCACCAAGCAGCGAATTTGAATGGAGCCAAGTCAAACCTAGTTTGAAATCAACTAAAGCTAACAAAGGGGGGAAAACGGACAACTCCAGCAAATCTGGGTCAGCTGGAAAAAAATTAAAACAAAGTAGTTCCTCCCAACCAAAAGTGTTAGAGTATGAAATGACTCAGTTTGATAAACGAGTACCTATTGCCAAATCTGGGACGAGCGTGCCACTGAAATCAATGCCGGCAGAGCCACAGTGCAAAATTTTGGTCCCACCAGCTCAGCAAGAAGTTGGTCGATCTCAGCAACAGTTCCTAATTCACCAACAGAGTGGAGAACAGAAGAAAAGAAATGGAATTATGACAAATCCAAATTACCACCTTCAGAGCAATCAGGTTTTTCTCGGTAGGGTTTCCGTCCCACGAACAGTGCAGGATAGAGGGCATCAAGAAGTACTGGAAGGCTATCCTCCCGCCGAGACAGAACTCAGCCTTAAGCAAGCCTTAAAACTTCAGATTGAAGGTAGCGACCCAAGTTTCAACTACAAGAAGGAAACCCCATTATAAAAGGTAACCTATCCAGTCACAAAGGAAGCAAGTGCTTGTATTTCATCATGTGCTTTTTAAATACGCTAAAATTACGCTTCATTGTCGGCCATCATCATAATTGCTTTCTTAATGAAAACCATGACTCTTAAAGTCTTAACCTGGCAAGTATTTGGTTTGCTGTCGTTTAAAAGCATCAGTTGGAGAGGATTGGGTCACCGACATATTTTCTGTCGAATTCTGATTGCTCCCATCGCACCCCACTGTCTTTGATATGTGACTGAGCGAAGCAGCAAGTTTCATGTAGCGTTGATTTGGATTTTTCTTTTCAAATATAAGGACAGCTGGGAATTTTAACGTGTGGTATTTTCAGATACAGTAATTATTTCATTATTTACAAAAATGCTTTTCAGGCAACCACTTTTGTGAATTTGGATTTTAAATGCGAAATCTCAGCAGCATAATTATCAACAAATTAAAAAGTTAAAATGGCTACACTAAAGCTTTGATTTTATATTTCTGTTAGTGTGAAGGTAAGCCTTCTGTAAAAGAGATGGCATTCCTCAGAGCAAGATTAGGATCTACGTTATGGTACCAATTTTCTGACCATTCTGTAGTTCTTAATCCGTGGAGTTCATTTGGTTTTCTCACTTTCTCTCCCATGCTGAATTGTAAGCTGAAAAAGGAATTTTGTGTAGCTTTTTCAGACCTGAATTGTCAGTGAGTCAGCTAAAATAGAATTATTTTTCTCCCTCTTCCTGAGGAGGTTTAGCTTTTTTAGGATATTGGGAATGTGTTAATAATTAATATATATTTTTTTAATTTGAATTTCAAAGCAGCAGCAGCATCTTTATGAAACCTATGCACATCTCTTATGGTGTATTTGCTTCGTTTTGAAAACATTTTTTATTTAAGTGCTGCGTTTTTGACAGCTCAGACCCCTGCTGCTTAGGACAAGAATGTTCTCGCTCGCTGACTCGCTTCTGCTGCGAGGCATCGAGGGCTGCGGGTTTCCAGGACAGTTGCAGGTGGTGCGGAATCCACAGATTGGGAGGGTTTCGGCTCTCAAAACCACGTAGGCAGGGTTTTTCCCAAAATGTCCTGGAAATGGATTTCACTTTAATGGAATGCATCTCTCTAGGTGTCGCTGAGGGGCTCTTGGGTATTGCACGGGGCTAGAATACTGTGCGGGACTCCCAAGGTGTTACCTTGACGTTTTGATTAAATTAAAATATTTGAAACAGTGCAGTTTTTCCAAAAGCTCTGTGCTAGAGCTTGCGCGTTTGTAAAACCCAGATCTCAGCAAAGGGTGGGATGAGCTGTGGGGCCGGCAGAAGTGAAGAGGCAGGGCAGCGGGAGCAGGCAGAGAGAGGGATAAGCAGAGAACCGGCCCTACATCTTCCTAAAAGTCAAAAGGACTTTAGATTCCCACAGTTCTACATCATGTCCAAACAGGATTTAAACATGTTTGCAGGTTTTTTTTCCTGCTTCCATAAAGCATATTAAAATGTATAATTAAGAATTGCATTTCCTAACTCTTCTGTGCCAACGCCTGACGTTCAGTGCTTGCTTTCATGTTACGCTTCATTGTCAATAAATTGTATGGTTCTGACGTAGCATGGAGTGATTTGACCTGCCCTGTCTTCAAAAGAGACTGGGTTTGATGAATTTTCCATCCATGTTGATTTTAAAATATAAAAGAAAAAAAAAAAAGCATGCAAGAAAAATCGGAGCATTCCACATACTAATTTTGAAACTGGAATTGGGCTTTGCTTGATCTGGAACAAACGGCGCTTTACAGAAAATTCAGCGTTTTTCTCTGTGAAGGTACTTGTTTGTGCAAGTAGCGAAGCGTATGAGGTGACGAATAACTAAATGGTTCCTTTTGCTTTTTCTCTTAACCATCTTTCATAGCTTCATTTTAAATATGGAGGTCGAAAACAATTTTGTGTGGATTATGAAATGCTTGGCGCAGGCTATAATTTACCTCCTCTTTTGCCAAGTCTCGAGCACAAAAACAGTAATTTCCCTGACCAGTGAATAAATTAGTCACCTGTGGAGAATCCCATCAGAAATATTCTACTGGAGCACCTGAGGAGCGGCTTTTCTTCCCTGGCTGCGGCCTCCGAGCTCCGTTGGGAAGCTCTCCTGCCGTGGGGACCTTGTAGCTGCTTTGGACGGTCGCGAGCACGGGGGATCGATCATGGGGTTTGAGTCAGGCAGGGAACACTTTTCCTCGCTGGTATGTTGTTGTGTGGTTTTAAACCTTAATTAGCAATGGGACAGCTCTCTTTTCTGATACCACTGTTGTATTACGGAGTATTTCAAAACTTCTATTTTGTGTTTTTAGGCCAATTCCATGATGCGTTGTATTACGGAGTATTTCAAAACTTAAATATTTCTATTTTGTGTTTTTAGGCCAATTCCATGATGCTACGAACAGAAGCGCTTCTGCTCCGAATGATTTATCAGCTGGCTGGGATGAAAGCGTACAATGCTTGTTTAGTCCACCTAGAAATTCAAGAATGTGATTTCTACAGTACAGTTACCTTAATTACTGTAACGTGCCTACATTTTCAGGCTGCCTTCTCAGTATAACCCTCTGTGCTTCAAAAATTTATTTTGTGTACTTCGTATTTAATACACAGAATGAGCACTTTTTTTTGTTTTAATTGCAGAAAGTTATATGCTGTATTTCCCTGTCAACAGCTGAAAATGGTAAGAACAAGGAATTCTGATGTCCTATTCCAGGTAGAGGTGCATGTGCCACAGCGAACTGTGTATGGAAAGGCACTGGGTTTTGTATTTTTCCTGTGGCTAAAGAAAATAAGCGGTTTGTCACATTTGCATTGGTGTAATGTATGGTCAGTTCCCTGTGTACTTCCAAAAGTTCCCTCCAGAAATACAAGTCTTGTAACAGTATTTTATAAATACTGTACTTGCGTGTTCTGCGTGTGTAATAGCTGCTCGGTGGTAGCCAAGGAGTCGGACTGCAACCAGCTGCAGGATCTTTGGGATTTTTAAGAGGCAAAAAATCCCCTGTCTGGTTACTAGAGCACCCGATCTGGCTGGCAGACTGTGACCACTGAAAGCAACAGGCAAATCTGGTCTTGGACACCTGGTCTTAAATAGCCTCCGTTCTTGTTACGGTAATGAGGTAACTGAATATGGGTATGTTTTAGGTGCTAAAGCAGAAGGTCTGATCCTGCTTGTCTTTATACGTTAGAAACAGCTCTTTCTTTTTTCCCAAGGTGAAGGACTGTCTTGAGAATGTCAGGGAAACAAACCATGGAAAATACAGACGCTTTGTTAATGAAGCTGGGGGAATATAGCGTGAGAGTGCAATGGAAAAGCAAGGGGTCAGTCATACCGTTGTCTGGCAGTATAGAGCTTTCCCAGTTAGCCCTGTCCTGAGACAACGACTCTTTAAAGCACAAACTTGTATGAATGTGGTTACTGCTTCAGATGGATTAGGTAGAGCCAGCGTGGGCATCTCTGTCCCGGGAGCACGGCGCATCGGCAGCCTGGGCACTCCATCTACTGCTAATGGAAAGCTGGTTCCCCACTCTCACAGTGGAAGAATTTTACTTCTATGAAAGAGAGCAAAATCAAGGCCATTGTTGTGGAAGTGAACGGTATGAATTTTTCCTTTGGATGTGCACATCTTACTTGCACAGCTCTGTGAGTGATAAAATGAAACAAGTGGGTTATTTTCTCCTAAAAATGCAAGCTATATTCTACTATTCACCATTACACAGCCTTGCTCTTTAGAAAATAAGCCTATTTTTGTATGTGAGTGTTTCTTCTAAAGGCTTGGGATTCATCTTTTTCATACTCTCATTCAGATCATTCCACAAATAAGATGATAGAAAGCTGAGGTTATTTTTCATAGAGGACTAATTAGATGTATGGCTATCCTTAAACTTTGATAAATGGCCCCTGGATGTATATGTAGTGCATATTCTGAGGCACTAAAGGGCTCCGTGTCTCGTTATTATGATTAACGATCATCAGAACTTTTTTTTTAGTATCTTGCACATCCATTCTTATTTGCTTGTTACTAAATGTAAAAAGAAACTTTTATAGTCAGGCATTCAGCATATAGTAAAATTAGATGTTAAAGGTTGACACACGGCAATATTGATTATTCTGAATGTTTCATGTATTGAATTTCTTGTCCCCGTGGGACAATTATAAAATAAACATAACAGGAGTCTGGCAGAATGGCCTTAGGAGGGTTAGTGGCTTAGTAAAGAGAGAGTACCAAAATGTTCTCAGCAAACTTGTTCCGAACCTCAAGTACAGTGCATTTGCAATACTGTGCAAGAATACAACTTTTCGTAGTTATTAGATGTATGTTTTGTTCTGTAGAAAGGGATCCCTGAATGCCGACATTTTTCTACTGACCTTGACTGTCATTGGGATTATATTTATTTAATTTTATTGTGTTGTTATTAATTGCACCTTGTGGACGAGAGGACGTAAAAATATGGCCAGTTTCACAAGGGGCCACAACTTATAGATAGCCTGATGGGTTTTGTGTGAATAATATTTACATTTGAAGCAGTTGGTGGGGAAACCTCCTCTCCGAATCAGCAGAAAGTAGACCTGTTGCAAGTGTTTTCAGAATGACAGTTCTTAAGGATTTTGAGTATCGCTTTGGAACAGAGCATGAATTGCTTTAAAACATCTACTTTCGCAGAAGGTCTGTGTAATTCCACATTGCTGTTGCGTGTGATTTATTTTTTTTTTTTAATATCATTTGTGAGGGTTTTGTGTACAAAGAGAAGTTGCTGTCGTCCCCCCACCCCGTTGTTTGCTCTGTTCTGCTCTGCTCTTTCACATCTGTACAATCCCGTGGCGGTAAATGGGAGTTGTGTAGCTGTGACTCCGCACGGTTTCTTCTGGCAATGTGCCAGTTCTCACAACCTAAAAAAAAACCTGAATAAAACACGAATCCTGTTTCTCTTCATCCCATTTTCACTGGTCCTTCCAAGGTCGTCTCCACAAGACGTCTAAAG